CACTAGGTGCCAGTCTCAAACCTAAAACTTTCATTGGTTTGACCACAGCTTCCCAGAATTCCCACTCCTTCCTGGTCAAACCACCACACTGGTTCAAACAGTCTTGGTCATTTGGGGCCTGAGCCTCTGGGTGTATTTTTAAGACTTCACACACTTTGTTTGGTGTTTGTTTTAGCATAAGGTTACTTGGCAAATCACATTGAGCATATTTCTGTTGGAAGTCTATATTGTCTAAAAGTCTTAACTTGGTGAACTCTCCACATTTGAACAAACTGCTGTGGAGTAGTAGTGTTTGCTTTCTCTTGGTTCCATTTCAGGGCCCTTATCTGTCTTTGGGGAATTATCAAGTTCAGATTAACCCCATCAGCATTTTAATGGTGTTTTCCCCAACTGGACCATGCCTTTCCATACCCTTTTACTTCAGCTGGCAGTTCTCTGGAGCATCACACTGTAGTGCTGGAACTTGTTCCACAGCACGCTGAGATTTTGTAGCTAGGTCTGATGCAGAATTTGGATTTTTGTATCCTGGCTCTTGGAAGCTGTCACTATGAGATGGGGAGAGGAGGGTTAAAATGCCCTGAACTGTGCCTGTTTATTTTGTATCTTCAGTACTGCTCACAAACAAGTATGCTGTGTAGGTTCATGCCCAGGTGAGAACAGTGAGGATCCTCCACATGACAACAGCAGTGACAAGATTGAAGAAGTTGTACAAGAAGAGCAGCCTCAAACAGAGCTGGTCAAACAGGAGATGTTGGTGCACTACCTGCAAGATGCTTACAACTTCTCAGTGAAAATGACAGAAGCTCTGAACCTGATCAGCAAGATGATGTACGAAAATTCTGTCTCAGGTATGTGAAATAACCTCTTTTCCCCATTCAGCATTCTAGCTCTTTCCTTGCTTGACAGAAAATGGAGTGGTAGAGCTCCAGGAGAAGGAGAAAAGATTGAAGGAGCTGCTCTTCATTAGGCAGATGTCATAGACATTTCCAGGGTATTGGAAAAGTGAGCACCTCATAAATGAGTGTCATGAAGGGGTTGAATAGGGCATGAACAGGCTTTTTAAGAATCCATTTTTTTTTAATACCAAGATTGAAAGAGATTTTTTTAATATGTTTAAAAGTTGTTTTAAAAAACAAATAAAATATATTTGGACTTTCTGAAATTAAAAAAACCAGTCAGGTGACCAAAGTGAGTTCACTTGTGGAAGCCACCCTGCCTCCTGTGGGGCGGGATGCATGTTCATCATCTCAGCTGAGGTTCTCCCAAAGTAAGCCTGGCCAGTGAAGCTGGGTTTGGTTATGTGCTCAGTGCCCTGGCACAGCTTCAGCTGTTTTGCTGGCCATAAGAGGGGAACTAAGCAGCTGGTCTCATCTAACTCACCTTTCCTCAAACTTTATTCTCTGGTTAAACATGAGCCTGATCAACAGGTGCTATGGCCTGGTCCTCCTCAGTGCTGTAGAGAAAAGTGGTGATCAGAAGGCCTTTGAGTTAATTCAGCTGTTCATATTTAATATTAGAACTACTGTAATCACTTAGACTTTTTTGCAGTGTTTATCAGAAATTGGCATTTCCAAGGGATGAGGGGCACAAGTCCTGCTCCCATCCTCTCCAGCGCATCCCCTTGCACATATCTGGGGTGTGGATGGTGTGGGCACTGCAGTGCCCCAGACTTTATGCAAACACTTCTGAGGCTTCATCTCTGCTGAGGGCTCATGTTACTTGTGATAAGCACGTGGGCTTCCCCAGCAAGGTTTGGTATTGTTAGCTATTTGCACACAAAAAAATGAACTCCTGGGTTTAGTGTCTTTACCAATACTTTAAAATTCAAGGCCTAGAAATTGCCCTACCTGGTACTTCAACACCTGGGGTTTGATTGTGGGGATGTTTTTTTAATGGATGCACAAATTTTAATAACTTTTCATTTCCGTGTTGTCCTGTGCTGTATAAGGAAGGCAAATTTAGTGTCTGAATAGCAGAAGTGCTTTGAGACATTGTCTCCATTTGGAGAGAGTATGCTGCTGGGTTAGGAAGAGACTGGTGTGTGCTAAGGGATGTGTGTGCTCAGATTGACCCTTTCTTAATTAAAGATTTAATATTTGAAGTTCTAATTTTTTTTCTGTTGCAAATTTATGTATTCTGGTGTGACTGGGGACAGGGAAAGCATACCAGCTCGCCTGATAGATATTCTTAATTCTAGTTTGTAAGGGCTTATACTGGTAAAAGCTCTTACTTAACCAGAGGTCAGACTCTATGAACTGTCTGTTGCAGCACAACTCCTCTGATCACTGCTGTGGATGCCTTGTGATGTGCTCTAACTTAATGGGGTTTTATTTTTTTGTCTTGTGAGAAGACTGAGCAGTCTATTTCAGGAGTAGTCAAGCTGGAACCAAACACAGTACTCCTTACCCCATTTGTACATCAAATAGCTCAGTTCCTCTGGTATTAGCATTGCACTGGGGCTTATATTCAGCTGTCTGCTGTGACTATGAGATCTTTTTTCCCAAAGCTACTGTTTCCCAGAAGAGAATTTTGTTCTTCCTCAAAGATAGTCTCTGTGCTCTTTCCCTAACCATATCACATTGGATTTATCTGTGATATTGTTAATGTGTGTCTCTTTTCTGGGACATCTACATCTCTGTACTAGGATCCCATTCTGACTCAAGCCCTCTGCAGACAGTAGCAGTGATTCCTAGATGCTTGTAAAGCTTGCTGTGAGACCAGTACTCCTATGAATTTGTTTTAATGGGAACTGCGGAAGAACTGCACTATCACAACTGTTCTCTCTGCAGTGGTGCAGGAAGCCATTGAGTTCTTCGTGACAGTCTCACAGTTTGGCGTGCCCCAGGCACTGCTTGGAGTCCGCAGGATGTTGCCCCTCATATGGTCAAAGGAGACTGGAATTAAGGAGGCTGTGCTCAGTGCCTACAGACAGCTCTATCTGAGCCCCAGCGAGGATTCCAAGAGGTATGGATCTCCCTAATCAACTGGTTTTTTTCTTTTCCCTCCCCCCCATTCCCTTTCTGCTGTTGGGAATGGGGTATGGACAGGAGGAGAACTGAGAGTTGGCATGCTTCATGCTGAGCTGAAATGTGAGGTTATTATCTGAGTATCCCAGTCTTCCTGCAGGAGCTACTGCTCAGCTTCTGTTCTTGGTTTGTCATAGAGCTCACGTGTCGGAAATTCATGCAGCAAAACTCTGTGAGATCTTGCAAAGCAGATGCTGAGAATTACTTGAAGTTAAACTGTTGTCAGGCACTAATATTTATTCTCATAAATTTCACTTTTGTACAAAGCCTTGCCTAAATATTCTGGGTAGAGTCCCTATCTGATAGGGAACAAGAAGAGTTAATTATGAATTCTTCTCTTGCCAGAAGGGCTCTTGATTGGCAAAAATTAATTTCAGCCCATTAAGAGTCACCTGTTGATATGGAGACATCCCATGTCCAGGAGTCTTATATACTTTGTGGGCAAAGTTGTTGGCCAATGTCAGTTGTTTGAGTTTCTTATAACTGTAGTTGTTCATCCTGCTGGGATAATAAGAGAAACAGTGTGGTCTAAAGTTGAAACTGTATTTCTGTTACCAAACCTCAGGTTTTTTAGCTGACAAGTCATACATGCTGTGGCCTTGGTCATGTGTAGGCATTCGTCTTTTGATGCACACAACACATTCCCCATTTCTTTATCCTTCACACTATTCAAGGTTTGTTCTTATTTGGGTGCTTTCACATGTATTTCTGTTTGTATTTCAGTCAGACCCATCTTAAATCTTTTTCTAACAATTTCTACATTCCTTAGATGTTAAGATGGGAGGATGTTAAAGGGTCTTTGTTATCCTTCTTGAGGATTTGGTGGTGGGAGCTGGCTACCATTTGCAAGTTTGCTTCTCCCATACTAGAGAAGAGCTGTGTCTCCTCTTTGCTGTGGCACTTGCCCCTTTTTAGTGCTTACACACTTGTAAATCCTGTTGGATACTCGTGCAATAAGTGTGATCCCTGGTGAGATGCACCATAAGTCACCCTCATTTGTGCCATCAGGCAAATAAAGAGCACCTGCTGCTTTTTATTTCTTCCTGATAATATTGCCTGGAAACAGCACTCCTGCAGTTGGTGCTCTGTCCTCATTTGTTCATAGAGAGATTTTCAGTTTCTAGGGAATTGTACTTTGACTTGTTGTTGCAAAGAAACTAGGAAGTGGCTGCTTAGTGCCTCTGATTGGATCTTTAAGCACCAGAAGAAGCACCAGTGCATGAGGCAATGGACTTACAAGCCCACATCATGGTCATTGGCACTTTAGTTGGATGACTTTGAGAACTCAAGCTTGTTGTGGGAGTTTTCCTGATCCTGTGGATCATCTCTGTTCTCCATCAGATGTTTTCAGCCTTTTCAATAGAGCAGTAATTGTGACAGTTGCTTTTTCTTTACCTTTTAATATTTTATTGCTCTTTTTCCCCTTTTGAAGGGCCAAGGCACAGGCCCTGGTGCACTCTCTGTCTCTCATCATGGTGGATGCATCACTGGGAATGCTACAGTGCTTAGAGGAGATAGTGAGTATTTGCCTAGCCTGGGTTTGGGTTGTGCATCTGTTTTATTCAAACAGTAGTCAATGCAGATTACATCTTTACTTTTGAAGTTCATTCTCCTTTGCCTCTCTCTAATTTTTTAATTGCATCCCTTTTGCAGATCTCAGAGTTTGTGCAAAAGGATGAAATCAAGCCTGCTGTGACCCAGCTGCTTTGGGAGCGGTTCACGGAAAAGTCTCCGTGCTCGACGCTGGAGTGCCGCGCTGCCGTGATGCTGCTGGGGATGATGGCACGGTGAGCCTGGGGCCAGGTCAAAGCCTCTCAGTGGAAGGGTGTTCAGGGAGTCGATTTTATTGAAGAACTGTGGGTGCTGCATCAGTTGACTCATTGGCTCTAGCTTCAAAAATAGTAACCCTATCGTGGGGTAATGAAGCCTGGAACTAAACATAGTTTTGCTGGATCCCACCAACACGGCCTCTGAATGATTATGATGAGATTATTTTCCTTGTGTGAATACCCATCCCTTCCCAGAGTTTACAGAGTCACAACTCTGCAGCTTTATCTGTGTTTGGGTAAGAACAGCGAGAAGCTGCTGAGTAGAGATGTCTGGAGCCTTTAGCATGAAGAAAAATGAATCTGTTTCACTTTCTGGGGGCAAAAAAATGTATCTGCACTAAAAGGTTTTCACTTCCTCAGTTTCCCCTTTGGCATTCACCTTACTTGCACTTCTTGCTGTCCTTACTTCAGTCCTTCATTAGTCAGAAACAGGCCTGCATAATGATGATCCTAAAGTTCTTTCACAGGCAGAAGTGGGAACGGGTGGGTATGGATTTGGGATTGGCTTTTTTTGGATAAATGTTGGTTTGGTTTGGTTTGTTTCCTACAGTAGAGGAAGGAATGGTATATGTCACAAGTCCTGAGCTTCTCTACTCTTTCCTACTTTCCAGCATTTTTGTTTTTCTTACCCCTCTAAATTTTGGTCCTTTCTGATGGGAAAAAAGAGTCAAGAATCTTCTTTCTTTACAAAGAGGCTGTTGATCACTATGGAGAAACTCATCTCTTAGTGGAGAGTGGATTACACTGGCCTCTGTGGAATTCTGCTTGTTGCTCCTCTAGCTGTATCTTGAGTCATTTGGATAGGTTTTATTTTTTCCCCTCTTATTCAAACCACTCCTTTCCACAAGGCACAAGCAGTATTTCTCTTGGTTATCCATAGTTCCATAAACTTTCAGCAGCACCTCATGTGATATCCCCATCTCTTCCATTCCACAGAGGAAAGCCAGAGATCATAGGTACCAACCTGGACATCTTGGTGACAGTGGGGCTGTCTGAGAAGGCATGTGAAGACTACAGGCTGCCTCAAGAAGTATGCAGTGTTATTTCCAAGCTTGCCAGTAACCCTAAGGTAAGGCTATGGGTTTGTTCTTTAGGTCTGTCCAGAAACAAAGAAAGGGGGGAAATTGTTTGCATGGAAGAAAAGAGAGAGTTAATTAAATTTTTACAGATTTTGAAATTAAGTAGGTTGAGACCATTCAGCAGCACTGTCTGGAAAGCTTAGCACACACCAGTGAACATGTAATAAAAGAATTTTCATTAGGCAACAGGCTGGATTCAATTAGTAAAGAGTTCAGTGCACAAGAAAATATGTTTTCCTTTCAATTCTCTTCTTCAGACTCCCAATTCTAAACTGATTTGTGTTTTCTCAACCATGAAACCCTTTCCTCTACTGATGTTTTCTGGTGGTGTGATTCTTTTACCCTCCCTATTAATTGATATTCAGGAGTTGTCAGCTGTACAGCAGAATATAAAACATGAAAGGCTTTCAAACCTGTCCATGTTGTACTTAGAACAACACGATGGTTGATGAGTTCTTTCCCTGGGAAACAATTTATACTTCTTTTTTTAAGACACTTGGAAAAAAAATCTGATTTTTTGACTCAGTCATTTGTGGCATTTTAGTTCAGGAGTTCTATCACAAAAGGAGTCCTCCTTTACAGAGCAGCATCATTCTGTGACAGCCCCTTCCGCTGGGGATGTTGCTGCATGAACTTCATGAGTTAATGTGTATCACAACATTCTTAAATATTCTAAAGATGGCTGTAATTCAATTTTTGGTTGACTTAAGTCTGCAGTTAAGCTTGTATGTGAAGAGGGACTGAACTGAAAATATGTGGCTGACTGACTGGCAGTAGCTCTTGTTCCCCACCCATCCTCCCAACCAGAAATCAGGAGTTGAAAATCAGGTGACTCAGGAGTTCTTATTTCAAGCTACTGAAAGCTGGTAAATCCTCAAGCCAGTTCTGTTTTGTTCAAGTATATATTCATCAGGCAGACACAGGTGTGCTGGGACACCTCAGGTATTGTCATACTTGGTTTAGTATTTCTCTAGGTTATCTTATTCCCAACCTAAAAGGTGGTGTGACTGATACAGAATATATGCAACAACCTTAGTGTGAGGTGATCTTGGATCCAGACCTATCCTGGGTTATTTCCACTGATGATATTTTGCTTTTAAACAAACCCATGTGGTTCTGGAGTACCCCAAGGCAAGCTGACTTACTGTTGTTGACTCTAAGATGCTCCAGAGGTTTCCCTCTTTATTCATTGCAGAGAGTGAGTAAATAATATCAGATTTTAAATTAATCCTTTTCACATTTCAAAGAGTTATTTTGATTTAAGGTGAGAAGTGTCTGGGATCATCATTTGGTTAAGCTGTAAATCCTCCCAGTGTAGTTACCCTGGTGTCACAAGTGACAGTAATGTCCCTGCTGCATGTTTAGCAGCAGAGCAGTACTGGATGTCCCTGGCATGGCTTTGATGAACATTGTGCACACAGGAAGGCTGAGTACTGGGAAGGGCATGGGGGGATCTCGTGTAACTCACCTGTTGTCTCTGCAGCCAGCACTGGGGAAGAACAGTGCCCCTTTTCGACTGCCCCAGAACCACGTGCTCTTTGCTTGCCTGAGTGAGACTGTGAGTAAAGGTGAGCCCAGGTCAGCAGGAGGTTTGGAGGGGATGGGGTTGGGCTGTGAGACCACCTGTGTTATCATTGTGATGTGTGGGTACATTGCTCCCTCTTCTCATCAGGCTTTGCCCAGCCAAGCAGTCACTGGATCCCCTTCATGGAGGCAGCTGTAACACTCATCTACCAGATGGCAGAAGGGGCAGAGGAGATCTGTGCTGACATCCTGCATGTGTGCAGTCAGCAAGCTCTGGAGAAGCTGCAGGAGGCTGATGAGCAGAAAGCTGGTGAGGAAAAAAGCTGATGAAGGAAATCTGTACCTGTGGTTTCCAGTGCTGCTTTGGGCAGCCTTGAGTAACTGCAGGAGAGTAGAGCTGAGGGGCTGGTGGAAGTGTTGGCATGGGAGGGTGTAAGTGCTATGAAGGAGTCTGTGGAGCGTGGAGATGGATTATATGGTGAGACTTGGCACTAACTGACAGGGAAGAGGTCTAGATCAACACTGAACTGGGGCCATTTTTCTCCTTTAGATGCAGGGGATTCTCCACACAGAGTCTCTGATGGTTCTGGCAGTCTCTCCACATTCCTGCTGCTGCACCTGATGGCCCTTGTGGGACAGGTGGCACTGCAGCAGGTAGTGTACTTGGAAGTGTCAGTGAGTGCAGAGCTACGCAGGCGCCGCCTCCTCAAAGAGGAGAAGACCAAGAAACAATCTGACACCAGCACAAAGAAGCAGAGACACCAGGTGAGAGCCAAGGGGTTTTTGGGCAGCTCTTCTGGTGTCCCAACTACAGCAAATTTCTAGAGAATGCAATCCTGAGGCTGCATGAGGTACAGGACAATGTGTGCTTCAGGAATAGAAACAGACTGGTATTGGTCAGGATTGACAGGGAGAGCTGAGGTCCTTGAATGACCCTATTCAGTTAACTGTCATGCTGGTCTTGAGTTTTGAAGAGGCAGAGGGGAGGGAGTGAAGGGTGATGTCCTGGCCATGCTTATCCTCCTGCTTCAGGAAAACATTCCCCTTTCACTCATCATCTTCTTTCTTACCAGTGCAATCTTTTGCAACTGATGCAGTAGTGGTGAAGAAACATCCATTTGTGCCCTGGAGTTCTAGAAAAAGGCTTCCTAGAGCCTGAGTCCAGGAGATTGGAGAATCCTATCCTCTGTTAGATAGTAATGATGAAGGTTTAACAGTAGTCTTTCTAACATGATTTAGATGCTACAAATGCCCTGTTTGGTTAGGTCTATCTTGGAACATTTTCCAGAGTGTAATGAGGCTAACTTTCCTGAGTAAGAACAGAGAAAAACACTGTGTCCATCTAGGTATCCAGTCACTATTAGATGCTGCTAAGTCTACAGAGAACTTTGTAGTTCATTTTCTCATCCACCTGCTTATCAGTGTCACTACCATTTTCCACACAGGAGGAGGTTAGTATGAGATTTTCAAAAAAGTAGCAGTTGGATGGATACAGATTTGGTCCCCATTGCAATGTCTCCTTTCTTCCCTTGTGTTGCTTTTTGTTTGCTATAAGGTTTCCCATAATCTTGCTCACAAAACCAGCAATTCAAAGGCTGCTTTGAGCTTCTTGTTTTTAGTATTTGAATGTCCCTTAAGTTATGCAGAACTCACTCACTGATGCTGGATGTCTCCTAGGTCTGTTTTATCTTAGTAGTGTCAGTAGTTTAAGCTTTCTTTACATTCTGGTCTCCTCATTGCAAGAGAGACAAGGTGCTCCTCGAGCAGGTCCAGTGGAGGGCAATAAAGATGATTAAGGGACTGGAGTATCTCTTAGAAGGAAAGGCTGAGGGAACTGGGCCTCTTGTAAGCCTCAAGACTGAGAGGGGACCACATCAATGTCTGTAACTATTTGGAGCAGGGGTGCCAAGAGGATGGAGCCAGACTCTTCTTGGTGGTGCCAAGCACTAGGACATGAGGCAGTGGGCAGAAATTGATGCACAGGAAGTTCCACCTGATTATGAGGATGAAATTCTTTACTGTGGGGTTGACCAAGCACTAGAACAGGTTGCCCAGAGAGGTTGTGGAGTCTCCCTCACTTGAGATACTCAAGAAGTATCTGAACACAATCCTGTGCAATGTATTCTAGGAAGACCCTCCTGGAGCAGATGATCCACTATGGTCCCTTCCAACCTATGTGATTCTGTGATTGGTGTTCCGTAGCACATGGACTGGCAAATCCCAGACTACCCTTCACAGCTTCATTCAGTTCTTGGGGGAAAGTGGGTTATTACACTCTGTGTCAGTCTGTTCTCCACTTTAGTTGTGCAGCTGGTAACATGCACGTACCTGTGAAGAAAGAGGTTATTGTTGCCTGACATCTTTCTTACAGTCTCCTCTCTGCACAGAGCACAGGGAACGAGACCACTATGGAGGAGGAGCTAGGCCTTGTGGGAGCCACAGCTGATGACACCGAGGCCGAGCTCATCCACAGTATTTGTGAGACAGAACTTCTGGATGGTGAGTGTGGCTGCCACTGAGCAACACTGGCTGTCTGCCTGTGTGAAAGAGCAGGTACAGCAGGCAACAGGTCCTTAGGAGGAAGGCTGTTTCCTCTGGAAGGAAGCACTGTCATTTTCCATGGTGTCACTTTCCACGTAGGCTGTCTGTTTCTTGGTTCTGCCTTTCTGGAGGTGGTTGTTCAGTGGTGAAAGTGAGTCAACCAGTTACTGTAGTTTGCAGCAGCTCTGAGATAAATGGAGTAATTGTTCCTAATGCACGATGCACAGTGCTCTCATGCTTGCTGTCTTTATCCCCACTTTCTAGGGAAGCACCTGCTCTCTGCCTTTGTTCCACTGGTGCTGAAGATCTGCAACAACCCTGGACCCCACGGTGACTCGGCGCTGTCAGCTGCTGCAGCCCTCACTCTTGGCAAACTCTGCATGATCAGGTACTGCTGAGCCATGCCAGAGTTCTTTCCCCAGCCTTCCTAGTACTAAAGCCCAAGCAAATGTTGCAATTCCTTTCCCTAGGAAAGAACAGACACAGTGTTCATAGATCACATTTTTTTTAAACTGTTTTTAACCTCTGCTCTCTGAGAGATGGAATTTTGCTATTTATCCCTTTTTTCCTGTACCCTGTTTTGTTAGCTCTGAGTTCTGTGACTCCCACTTGCGTCTGCTGTTCACCATGATGGAGAAGTCCCCCCTGCCTGATGTGAGATCCAACCTCATAATTGCAGCAGGAGATCTAGCCATCCGCTTCCCCAACCTGGTGGAGCCTTGGACATCACATCTCTATGCCAGGTAATGCTACACTCTTTGTCATGTGATGAACACCCTGTGGAAGGGTGACACTGGGCCTCCAGAAGGTGAGAATGACCCAAGAAAGCAAATTTGAAGATGCTGGTGCAGGAAGACCAGAGCTTTGGGCTGTCACAAGCACCAATAACTCAGACACTCCCATGGTGCTTTCTGCAGTAACTCTTTGCTCCTGTCAGGTTGCGGGACCCCTGCCCCAGTGTGAGGCAGACGGCTGGGCTGGTGCTGACTCTGCTCATCCTCAAAGACATGGTCAAGGTGAAGGGCCAAGTGAGTGAGATGGCAACTCTGCTCGTAGACCCAGAGGAGGCAATTGTGGCAGTGGCTCAGAACTTCTTTGGTGAACTGGCCAGCAAGGTAAGTGGATGCTCAGGGACCTTATTTCACAAGAGCAGGGAAGGGCTGTTGGAGGCTGAGTCAATTACCTGAGCCCTGGAGAAGGTGTGTTAATGCTGTAGAGCCATTGGTCTGTCTCTCTGTGGACTAAATGAGGGTAGTTAAAAGAAATTTTGTAATACAAGTTTTGTTTCATCCTTGCTTGATGTTGCTGAATTTGACCTCATCCATTCACACTGGAAGGCAGGCTCCAAACCACTGCCTTTTCCCTTTGCTTGCTTGTGTATGCCCAGCACAGGGTTAGGAGCAATTTTCTGTAGCTCACCTGTAGGCCTTACAGCAGAGTTCCCTGACCTTATGGCTCAGGCAGTGCACCTTCTCTGAAACCTTTCTGAGTTGTTCTTGGCTGTGGGACACTGAGATACTTAAATTGTAGCAGTTTCTGCCCAGGCAGGTGAGAACAGGAGCAGTGTTACCCCCACTGTTCATTCCATGTGCAGCCTTGTGTGGGCCCTTCAGAGTTTGAGATTTACTGCCTGAGAGGCTGCAGTGACACTGGGGCTTTTCTGTCCTGGTTTGCTTTGTTAAAGCAGAGCTGGCCACCTGACTGCACTGACTTCCTACCTCTGCAAGGTGCATGGCTATGCTATGTATAAAGCTGTGTAGAAGCAGTGGGAAAGAGAATATGGATTGGACCTTTTCAGGCAAGAAAATGGGAAGCAGTTCCATGAACTAAAGAGCTGTTTCCTTCAACAGGAAGCTTTTTTTGTTGGGTTGTGGCAAGGTTGGAAGGCAAAGAAACTGCATCCAAATCTGCCAAAGAGCAGAGCTGGGGTGCAGTGTTTAGCTTGTTGGTTGGCTGGGCTTTTCCTCCCCAGCCAAATAGTCCTGGATAGGTCTGGCTGGCTGTGTAAGCTTGTTTCAAAAAGCTGATGCTTTCAGTCAGTAGATTTGGGGTGGAGAAAAAGGAGGTCATTTTAAGTGGGCACCTTATTTGGCTTGACTCAAATTATCCTTTCTAATTCTGTATCTCATGTAGAAACTTGTGTTCTGCACAGGGTAATGCTGTCTATAACCTGCTTCCAGACATCATCAGTCATCTCTCGGATCCTAACAGCGGCATAGAGGAGGAATCCTTCCACACTATTATGAGGTATTCTGAGGTTAAATAAATCCCTTATTGCCAGGACTATGTTTATGCAAAGGGGGTGCCATATCAAGGGAAGAAAAACTACATTGACGTGTACAAAATCCTTTTTCAGTTGTTCTCTTTGATCTGACTTTTTCAGTCTGTACTGGAAATGGAGTCATGCTGAGGGGAATTGATTTTAAAGCCACACTGTTGGGAGTGAGGAGAGACTCTACAAAGAGTAACCACCAACTCAAAATCACTTTCCCTCTAGAAAAGGAAAATAGTTGGTTTTACGTATGGGAATGTGGATTTGCAACATTAGGAAAACACAACAGGTTTTAAAGCTGCTGCCTTTGTCATTTTGGTGGCTACTGGAGTTTTGTAAGCAGTTTTAGTAAAGCTGTAGTTAGAGTAACAGGTTTGGTCTGGGTTGGCTTTCTGGTGGTTTGTTTTGTGGGGAGTTTTTAGTTTGGGTATTTTTTTTCTTGTTTGGTTTCAGTTTTTTTCAAGAAAGCCTGACTCTGGAGTATAGAGATCTTGGAATATTTCAATCTGAGGTTATAGGTTGCTCATAGACAGCATTAATAATATCTTTATTGGTAAAGTACAGACATTTTCCTCTCATTTCTGAAACTTGACCACGTGAGGGTTTTTCTGAGTCATTTGAATTCCTATGGATTATAGAGGGGGGTGTTAGACAAAAGTATTGCTGTTGCTGAAGAGAAGAGCAATAAAATCTCCTGTGATTTTTCAAGTAGTCTTCCTGTCTATGAGAATCCAGTGCATTTAGGAAGAGGGATGGGATTTTGGATAGGTAGGAATTGCAAGACACAGAAAAGGTCTATTAGTGAGGGTGTAATTGAAACTAAAATTAATTTATGGTGGCAGAAGTAGATGGATATCTTTGCTTCAGCTTTAATTAAGGAGGGTAATGTGAAATACTGGGAATTATAGCTTGTAGTTCCTGACAGCACACATAGAAGTTAATGCCTGAAGTGAAACAAACCATCACAGGTAGACAAGAGGCAGCATGTAAAAAAAATCCAAATAATTTTGGATTTTTCAATACTGTTTTTAATTAATATCAAACTGAAGGTATTACCACAGACATAGAGCATAATTGTAGCAATTGCATTAAAGTGTGATTGGTGGGGTTAAAACAGGTGTAAGGTGAACTTTTTACTTCCAACAACATTTGTGGAGAGAACTGGAGGTGTCTGGCAAATAAGAGAAAAGGGAGTATTGATTGAACAATGTAGATAGGTACCAAATCAGCATCAGGATAATTAATTTTAAAGACCTGATCATCAGTTAACACACCACTTATCCTTTATAGAGGAAAAGAAGGGAATTAGTAGTTAAAGATTAATTGATGCTGGAAAAAATACAAAGGGAGGACTCTTGAGAATGTTGTCTCTGTTATGTATCTTAGAAAAGCAGCTTGGTGTGGTGGTTGTAGACACAACAAAGACTGAAGTAGGAAGTGCTTTAGAACAACTATATCAAGGCCAGTGGCAACCTGACTGAGTTAAAGTAAACAGAAATGTTGGTACAAGAAATGGGGAGAGCAGCAGGACCTTCTTAATAAATAGAAGTTATTCAGTGATTTCCAAGAGGACATAGTGCAAAATGCACCAGTACTTAACTGTGCTAAAGTCCAGGTGTCTCTATCCCTCAAGAAGCTAACGGATTAAGTTAGCATTTAAGTTCTGCTAGACTTTGTTCCCCTTTTAGTGCAAAGTGGTGCTCACTTTTGCATTGATCCAAAATGCAACAACACACTTTCAGCAAATTAATAGTGAAAAAGCACAAGCATGGTTTTGAGGAGGGAAAATGCTGCATGCCACAGTGCTCCCCTCAAGGGTTGCTTGTCAGACAAACTGGTCTGTCAGTGCAACTTGTGAGGTGAGGAGATTGTCTGGAGGCGCTGCATGCTCTTAAAACCGGATGGAAGGAGCAGATAAGAAGTCAGCACTGCTGCCTTTTCATCACCCCTCCTCCCTGAAATGGGGATTCCTCTGTGGGCTCTAATCTTTTGTTCTTTTTTCCCCTTGCAGACATCTGTTCTCATATATTACAAAAGACAAACAAACAGAGAGCTTGGTGGAGAAACTTTGTCAGAGATTCCGGACTGCCAGGTGGGTTGTAATCTTAATTTTCCTGACAAGTGTTTCTGCTTCTCAGGATTTTTCAGAAGATATGAGCCTGTATGTTGTGGTTGTAAAAGGTTCCCATTATATTCTTCATGTGACAAATGCAACATAACTTGGTTTAGGTCTCCCTTTTTTTTACTACCTTCTCCTAAAAATACATGAATACTTATAAATTAAGGTTTTTGCTTTTATTATGCAGTGATTAACCCACTCTTCCTTCCTTTTTTAAGGAAAAAGTTTTGTGACAGTCTAGATATTCTTTATAGCTGAGCAAGGAGACATTCCACATGTGGATTTTACATACTTTTGTGGTCCTTCTCCACAGGCTATTCCCTTGCAGCTCAGCTAGGAAATCAGTGTGTTCAGCTGAGAAGTTGGGATCTTGCCAGCAGTCCTGTCTGGGATGATCTCAACTATCAAGCTGATACAGGCCTGTCCTTGTTCTGTGTGCATGGGCTGCTCAGTACCAAGTCTACATCTGGGACTCTGTTCTGGGTTTTTTATTATTATTATTTTACCTAAGGGCTTGTGCCACCATACACTTTGGCTTTTGCTCTGCTCCATCTCCAAGATGTGCATACCTTGCTTGTACATTGCTGATTACAGAGTATAGAGTGCAATGCTGTAAATCTGGGATATCATTTTGCTTTCTGGATTTTAAGGCTTTTTTGCTGCTTTTCTCCTGCTCCCCAAGCTGTAACTTCACTGACCAGGCATACACTTTTTGTTTCTTTCCAAGAAGAATAATAATAGAAATTTATCTCCTTCCATTCCAGTGAGATATCTTAATTTTAACTTCCACTGGCTTTGGTGTACCCTGCTTCCCTCCATTCCTGTGGTTTTCCTTCTCCATTGTTGTGGCTTTGCCCTTGAGATTTAAGCTGTCTGCTTATCTTGGCCATTTGTGCACAGTGCCTGGGCATGTGACCTGCTCAGCTGCCTCAGGGAGTTGCATATTTCCCAAAATATTTGGATTTTGTTTCCTGAGAAAGAGTGGAGAGTGGTCCCTCTCTCCAGCTCCCAGGAGCACTGGTGAGCTCTTCACACCACATTTGTAAATACCTGTCTGTGTGTGTGTTGTCTCACCTTTAGTAGAATGCCCTGATATTTCTGTGCCACGAAGGTGATCAGCTTGGTGCACACTAGTGGTACTGCTAGAGCAAGACTCTCACTCCAGGCTAAAACAGGAGCTTATCAGAGCAGATTTGCAGCCACCATCACCCTCCTCAGCATTTCTGGAGTTCTAAACATAGGAACTTGCCAGGTGTCATTCAGACTACAGGTGGGCTACCTGGATGCTGCAGCTTTGTTCTCCATCTGTCTGGGTTTGAGCAGAGCATCCTGAGACAGCTTGTGCTGGACAGACTTGAGGCCCTCACTTAGTGTATATTAAAAACAGGGGCTTTGGCTTTGCTTTTTCCCTTTCCATTCCATCACAGTGATCTACACTAGGGATGTTAGTTTGTGCTTTTGTTTTTCTTTCCCTTTGGTTTTATTACAGTAACTTTCGCTGGAATTTGAATGTAGTCATTCTCTGATGCAGTATTTGTTATTTGCTGACTTTATAACTTAATGACTATGACCTTCTTTATGTAACTAACCAGGAAAGGGAGAGAGAACATCAAATACAGCTTCTGCTTGAGATCATCTCAAACATGCAAAAATGAACAGCCGGGGGGGTTTGTTACGTGGTTGAAATAAGGCCCTTCAAGAGGAGTCCTGACCTCACTGAGTCTTTTCCTCCTGGTCAGCAGTAACTTCTGACATTTTTTTCAAACAAGTGACTGTGCTCTTTAGCAGTGGAGCCTTCATGTTTTTCCAACAGGCACTAAGTTAGTGTCATGGAATACAGTGGTGGTTATCTGTGGTATGGCACAGCACCGTGTCACTGACCTGTAACAGAACAACCTGAATCTCATGTTGTCCAGGGCAGAAGCACCTTCAGGAAATGCTGGTAGTTCTGGATGGGATGTGCTCATCCTCACACACCCCTTCTTGTAGGAGCTAACGGTGATCTTTGTGTTTTCCAGGACTGAGCGTCAGCATCGGGATCTGTCCCACTGCCTTGCTCTGCTTCCAGTCTCGGAGCGGGGCCTTCACAAGCTGCAGGACAACTATGACTGCTTTGCAGACAAGCTCCAAGATCCAGCTGTCTACAATTGTTTCCAAACTGTGCTGGCTCGATTCCGCAGAGCAGGCGTCAAACCTGAGGCTAAAGTAAGGCTGTGGGACAAGGGTCCAGGCCAGAAAACAATTGCTTTTTACACGCAGGGACTGGAAGCCCTGCAGTTTTTCATTTTAAACAGACTTTTCCTCACGCCTAACAATTTATCAATTTATTCCTTTAACTTGATGGCAGTTCTGCTATGGATGTAATACTTCTCTCACCTTCTCTTTTTTTTTCCCCTGCACTGCTGTTTTACATCTCCATCAGGCTCTAGCTGAAGAGCTGGAGCAGAAGCTGTCTGCCTCCCATAAGCGAGGACTGGATTCCACAGAGACATGCCAGGATGGTAGTCAGACTCCAAAGCCAGCACCAGCCAAGCGGAAACCAATAGGAAGTATGTTCCTTTTTGTGACATTCCAGCCTTCCCCTGATCCTGCAGTCCAGCAGAAACACCTAAGCACTTCTCCTCACCCTTACAGACAGAAGTTTGCTGCCTTTCTCTATTTTTTTCCCTTTTTCTTGACAGGTTCACGGCGCCAGCCCCTAAGCCCAGCCAACTCAGATAATGATTTTGTCACGCCCCCATCCCGCATCCTCCAAAATCATAAGCGTGCCCAGAAGCGCCCTCCACGCAAAAAAACCGTCATTACCTTCTCCAGCGACGAGGAGAACAACTCTGAGGATGGTAAGGCACTGCACACCTGTGCTCTGAGGGGGGAAGGACTACAGACTCTGCCCAACAGGGATGTCCCTTTGGTCATGGCCTTCAGACCACTGTGGAGGTTGCCTGTAGATTTCTCTGCTCAAGGCAGAGTGCTCATTATTGACATGTTTTACTCTCTTTAGAGCTATTGGCAGAATTAAGAGAGGAAGAAACCCCCACCAAAACAACTCCCATCACCAGATCTTCAGCCCGACGGCGGCGCTGAAGGAACCATCTGCCACTGCCTTTAACTAAAAATAAAACTCCCTTTATGCAACCGTCGCCTTCTCTTGTCTCAACTACCCCAGAATACAACAGTGCTTTAAAGGAGGACAAAATGGAAGTTAACACCAGCATAAAGCAATTCCAGCCCTTTCTTCTGATATCTCCACAAAGAAAGGCAGTGATGATGAACATGGCACTTGGACTGATTTTGCCCTGACTTTGCAGATGAGAATAAGCTCCTCTTATTAACTTTTTTTTTTAATCTTTGGAAGAAAGTCTAAGAAGAGCCAAACTACCCACAGAGTACAAAATGCTCATTCCTTTCTTATTTTGTATGTACTTTATTCTACACTATTCAGCTTTTATCACAGCACCAATGCAGTGGTGTTGGGTTTAGGCCCTTTTATATTTCATGCTTTTTGAAGCTCTTATCCTGTAAATCCAAGCTGAGGGTTTTGAGGTGAAGGCACCTGCATGTTTTTCTTGTGTATATTGCATCAAAGAAGTGTTCAGGGAGTGGGGTGTGAGGAGAAAGAGAGAGAAAGGCTACCTTAGACTAGAGCACTTGAATAAACAATAGGTAAAGTCCATAGGAAAAAATACATCTTTAAAAACTAAAAAACAAAACCAACCCAACACTAAAACTTTAGAAGTAATTTGTAATAATGCTTATTTGATAAGTTACTAAGAATACTGATACCCTTGATTGTCTTACTGCTTTCTGGAATGTATTTGCTGCAAATCCAATTATGTTTCAAGTAAAATTGGCACTTGGGTTTTCTCATTTTGCAAATGCCACATCAGTTTTCAACTCAGTCCTGGCAGTCCTTAAACTGCACTGTGAACATGAAGTGCCCTAAATTAGATTCTGTGTTAATCACATAAATAACCTTTAACCTTCTGTCTAGAGGCAAGTTGGCATTTGTCCCAGAGCTGTTACTACAGAATTATTTCCTCTTACCTTATCAGCTGCCTGGAAAGCAGACTAGTCACTAGCTGGGCAGGAATGGGAAGGGTGCTCCTCCTCTCCACTGGTTCCTGCAGATCTGTAGTCTCTGTCTCTGAGGCTCTACCACCTTCCCACAGTTGTGCTCATGGGTTCCCCCAGCAAGTAGAGCATGCTGCTCAGTTCCCTTTGCTCTGACTGCAGAAGTAGCTGCTGTAGCTTATTTTGATCCCTATTTAAAAAAACCCCAATCATTAGGAAGTGCATAGCTTTGCACTAACCTGAGCATACCTGAATGGACATAATCATGTTAAATGCTTTCAGAAACAAGTGGGGAATGATGGGGTAACAGGTGTATTTATAAACACCCCACTTGAGTCCCATGACTCGGTGAAAATACTTGCCCACTTGTCACCAGACTGAAATAGCCAAATACCAATATAGATATGCTCCAACTCCAGAGCACACCAGTAGCCTCAGGACAATCACATGAAATACAAAGATCAGAAAGCTACAGTAATGTTGTCCTTTTCCCCTCCTTCCTGATAAAATATTCAGTGAGGGCTGCAGGAGGCAAAGGTAGCAGCTACAGCATTGACAGTAAATACAACACAGAGTCATGCACGCCATACGTGATTCCCTCACCACCCACTGGGTATGACACTCACATACAGGAATTAAAAAAGCAAAAGACAGCATATATGGATGTCTGCCCAGGCTCAAAGTTTTACAAGCAATACATCTTGTCTCAATGTGAGATAATATGTTGCTAATGATATAGTAGGGGAGATATGAACGGGTGGATAGAGGAAGTGAGGTGGCCATAAAACTCTTAGGCATTGGCTCACCTTCAGACCATACTTCTCCACTACAAGTGGTTGAACTTTTTCCTTCAGGAGAAGGAAAAAGTCATCCTTCTGGAAGGAGGGTTTGGCAATCAGTGACTGGACTGACATGCTGGCTCCTTCACTGCTTTGCAGTCTGTCCTTTGCTCAGGACACTCAGACACTGTACTACCTGGGCAAGTGAGAGTGAGAAGTCAGTGGGTGAGAGCTCTGATTGGTCCCTTTCTGCAGATTTTTGAGGTGGAGCACCTTCCTCTCCTCACTATCCTCCCCTCATATCAGAAGAATTAGCAGTCCTGTGTCATGGGCAAAGGAAGTCTTGAAGAAAGATGAGGCAAAATCTAAGAGGGGTTTTGGCACCTACACCGTGGCTTCAGCCTTAAGTAGATATTTGCTGCTCTTCTGTTCCTCACAGACATATTTTGGTGGCTGCCACAATGACCATAAATCACTGCTGAAGGAGTAATCCCACTCCCCTGCTCCTGAGGCAGTGGGATTACTCAGTGCCAAGATCAATGGTGTTTCCATTCTCTAGGGACTCCTGACCATGGTTGCTCTGAACTCCTACAAATGGTACCAGTGGAATAATGTGAATATTGTACACTTCTAGAGCCTGCAGCAACCATGGTCCATTTCTATTACCTTGGGCCAAGGGGTGTTCCCTCAGGGTTCTTCACTCAGTTCCCAGATGTCCCAGTCTCCAGTTGCCCTACTCTTTCCTGTATGAGCAACTGTTGGTAGAAGGCTTATTATGATTCAGCAGCACTTTTCTGGTCTTGCAAGCTCTAGAGTCAGTGCCCCAGCATCCAAAGGGAAGGGTTTTTATAAAGGAAACTTGTTAGCATGAGAGAGGAAAAAAGGACAATAACCTATTTGAGTCTGAGAAAACTGGGGCAATCAAGGACTTGTCTGCCAAAGCCTTTTCACTTCACAGTCACTGCCAGGACATGTCAGAGTAACTATTCAGTTCTACTGCAGTCCCAGCAAGGATCTGGGACGCAGAGCAGCTGCAACATCACGGCACCTGAGTCACTGAGCACCTGCATTTTATCCAGGCTTTGCTGGATTTGCAAGAACTTACAAGAATCCGCAAGAAAATTTGCAAAGTTTCTGCAGTCTTTGAAGTTTCTTGCTTGATATGTGAGAGTGATGGCTCTTTCCCTCTTGCCAGCCCCAGCTCTTGCTGAACCCAAGGAGGACACTTGTCATTTGAGTTCTCAGAGCCTCCCCACCCCTGCAGGGCTCAGTCTTTGTGCAAGTGGACTGGAATTTTGGAGCAGTTGCAAACACATTTCTGGCATTCTTCTTGCAGTATGGGGGCCACCCCATTCAAGGGATGCCAGATCAAACTGCTGCTACATTTTATATCAAAACCAAAGTGCTGTTCCTTTTGCACTTACCTTCCCTCAGCAAAGGAGTGACTCTGACTCATGTAACTGGTGTGTTCCAGCGAAGCTGCTCCTGCCAGCAGCAGGAGTGCTCGAGCACACTGACTCAGCTCTTTCTGGACAGTCACATGTGACTGGCAAGTACAGAACAGCATCCTCTGGGACACCTTGCATGCAGCAGGAACATCTGCTGACTTCCTGTCCTTCCTCTCTGGAAGTCCCTCTGGAACTTTCACACCACAGGGCTCCTTACACTACCACATCCAGCACAAGGCTGTGCACACACATCCCTGTACCCCATTTGTGCCCAGGCACCCCATCCTAATGCCCACATGGGGTGTGTGTCCCATGGCTGTCCAGCAGTCCCCTGTGCTTTGTAGATTCAAAGTAATCCTGTTTCCCACAAAATGTCTCAGTGGGGCCTCGGGAGCCCCTCCATGTGTTGGCCCAGGTGACAGGGTGACAGGAATGCCACACAGGATCACTAGAGCATCACATTGCTCTGGACACAGCACCAGCCATGGGTTGCAGCCATCAGCTGGAGCTAACAAAACTGGATGTCCACAGCTGTGCAAAGCACTGCTTCCAGCATCAGTGCCCCACAGTGAAGGGCCATACCCACTTCTCAAGGACTGGATGCAAAAGGTTGATAAAACTTTCTGTCTCCTTGGGCAGAGAAGAAATGGACCCACAAACATGCATCTGCAAGTGCAAAATGCCTGGAAAAAAGGGAGAGAAGGAGGGAGAGACAGCAAATATCTGAACTGTGACTTTGTTATCTCTGCAGAAGACCTTTTTCTAATTTTCTTCTTTCTTAGAAAAAAAATAAACAAAAGCAGGCAGAAGAACATGTTCTGTCAAGTTCTGGCCTGACTTGTGCAACAGTACAGAACAAAGGGAAGTTTGGGGTGTTAAACTCTCCCAGCACACCCACTGCTAACCCTGTACTGGGGTACAGTCCCTCCATTCCTCTCCCCTGACAAACTTTGCTGATTAGTTTCTGTCTTCATACCCAGGCTGACCTCTGCACCCTGATCTCTAAACAGTGACCTCATTGCCTTGTTCAGCTGGTGAGAAACTACAGTAAAATGGAAGAGGTAAACAAAGTGGGGGGAACTAATGGCCAGAAGATTTAGGAGGTAGGAATCTGCTCCTTGCTATCCTGCTCCCATTGTGTGCCTGAGCTTGACAAAGTGCAAGCTGAGCCTCAACAAGCTCTTTTCTGTGACGGTTCCTCTGGAAACTCAACCCAGTCCTCCAGATGGTGACTTGGGACAGACAGCCTGCAAATTATATGCTAATAGTACTAGACCCACGCTCCTGTCACTGCTACAAATTCTGTGTAGTACTGGAATTCACCCACCTTCTGCTGCAGGAGCTCTTCATTCCCAGCCCAACAGTATCACCAAGATATAAATATTAAAAACAAAGGCCTGTGTTGTCACAGAGCTGAATTTGTGTCCACTCTGTGCAGCCAGCAGTGTGCCTACCTCTACCTGAGCTGCAGTTCATGCTCACACTGATCAGAGAAATAGCATTAACAGCACTCTGCCTATGAGGAGAATGTTCAGTACTCCTACACAATGCAGCCTTCAATATCCTCCTTTTGGGATGTGTTTCAAAGTGTCCCCTGACCCTGACAGACACCTCCAGGTCCTGGCCAGCAGCAGCTCAACTCACATTTGTCTTCCCAGACACTCAGTAAACACCTTTGTGTCCTTTTTCTTTAGAGGAAGGGGTCTTGCTGAGCTCACCCTGAAATATATCACCCTGGACAAAAGCGCTGAAAGGTTCAGGAGCTCCAGGGGGTGGTTCAGCAGGGAGCTGGGGCCAGCTGCCTGCCAGAACCAAAACTATAAAGGCAGAGAGGGGCTGGGGACCACATCCCACACAGATGCTGCAAGTCCTGCCTTGCCTCCCACCAGCCCTGGGCTAAGAAGATGCTGGGGCTTCGGTTGTGGCCTTGCTCATTTTTCCTCTTCTTGGTTCTGCTCTCTGCCAGCGTTCAGACTGTGTCCTTACCAAGACAGAGACTACAGGTAGGAGGGAGAAAGCTGAGGTTGATTTCAGGAGGGGAGGAGGAGGAGGGAGGTTGTGTTTGAACCTCGAATGAGAGGTGGTCCCAAATTCCAACTACAAGAAGGCTGCTGTCTATTCTAGTTGCACTCTGCCCTTCAGCAGCCTCAGCTCTAGGGTGACTTTATAATCCAGCCCCTAAGGAGCTCCAGCATTTCAAGACAGGAAACAGACATAAGCTTTTTAGTGCTCTGCAAAAGCTTTTAGCAGTGAAGAGCCCAGTCCTTTGTAAACCCACTCTGTGTCAGCAGGCACGAGATACTACAGTCACATCTCTCGTCATAGTTCTGGGTCTCATATTTCAGAGGGAAGATGCATCCTGTTGGGCCAGGAGTTTTGCTCCTAAGCTCAGTATTATCCCCCTTAAAGACCCTCTTTAAGGCCAAAAGCCCTGTCAGGATACCAACTAAGGGCTTCTTCACTTGAATAAATCTTTATCCTCAGCAATTACAGCAATAACATTTTTGACTTTGCAATCTAGCCAGCTTCCTCTTACCCAAACCCTAACCTGAGCCCCAGCACCTTGCCTTTACATCACCCTGGGAAAGCCACAGGGAAATAGTCAGGACATGAACTAAAATCACAAGACTGAGCCTGCTATGACTCACCACTTTCTCTCCTCGCTGAGGATGCCTGTGTCCGCTTCAGTTAACTTGCTACCACAAAGAGCTGCACAAAGGCATCCTCAGCTCAGCATCCATGTGAGAGACAGATGTAGAACGGCTCCTGCAGGCTGCTTCCATGGGCAGCAGTGCCATCCCTCCACTGCACCCAACACACCCCCCAACCCTTGTCTCCCAGCAGTGCTGAGGGCTTACAGTCAGCACAGCTAACCTAGAGGATTTCCAGCAGATGGGGAGTCCCTCTTCCTCACACCTGCTCTGCTCCTGCTTCTCCCTCATCTTTATCATGGTCCTTTGAGGCAGGACCATCCTTCCCAGCAGCCCTCTGATAAAATGAAATAGTGCACAGCAGCTTGAGCACATAGAGATGCTCAGCATCCACAAGGAGCAAGGACTGAAGAGCTACCTTCCAAATCTGGGGCAGGGCAGGACGTGTGTATGGTTTTACAAGCACAGGGCAATCTGCCCGCAGGCAGAGCTCACAGCAGCTGTCTGCCTGATGCTTTGTTCGACAATGTCATTTCAGACAGTGGGAGCTGCTGGTCAAGCCCTTCCTTGTGTCTGGATGCAATGTGACAGGCACAGTGCTGTGAGCAGGCATCACTTTATATGTCCTGCCTGAGCCCTCAGAAGAGTAAGGGCAGTAGGGTACCAGGGGACACAAGGCTTATCACCCCTCTCTCCTCCATTTATCCCAGATGCTCCTTTCACGATTGCTGCCCTTGGAGCCCGAGTCCACGCTGACCGAAGAGGACACGAAGGAGGGGTCCAGCTTTGGTCCTCAGCTGCCCTCCTCCACTCTTCCCTTTCTCGCATCTGGGGCTAGAGCCGCCCGTCCATCCCTCTGGCGCAAGAACCTCGCCAGTCGCAAGTGGGCACTGCCTGGAGAGTGGGCCTGGAAGGCCATGCCCAGGGGTTGCTTCGGGCTGAAACTGGACCGAATCGGGACCTTCAGCGGTTTGGGGTGTTAGCTTTAGAGGGCCTCCGAGGTGAGAGGGCCAAGAGCGTGGGCTCGAGCAAGCGGGCAGGGAAGGAGTTCAGGGCAGAGTGGAGCGCACAGACAGCGAGGGGATGGGGCAGCG